AGATCTCTTGTGATCACCATGCATCCCCTTGCACAAGCTGTCCCATATTTCCTGCCAGGATAGGCACCATCATTCTACCAAATATAAGCAAATAAAGTGTTTTGTGAATTACTGGCTGACTCAAGATAGTCCTACGAGGGGCACAAACCCAGAGTATCCCTGACAACTTCAAAAGTAGTTCTAAGAACATAAGAATTGCCATTTATTGGGTCAGACCATAGGTCCATCTTGCCCAGTCTCATGTCCTCCAGGGCTCGGTCCTTGGGCCGGTGCTGTTCAACATCTTCATTAGCGACCTGGACGAGGGTGTGGAGAGCACCCTGTTCAAGTTCACTGATGACACCAAGCTGTGGGGTAAAGTGAATACACCGGCAGGCAGGGACCGCATCCAGGCAGACCTGGATAGGTTAGAGAAGTGGGCGGATCTGAACAGGATGCAGTTCAACAAGGACAAGTGCAGGGTGCTGCACCTGGGGAGAGGGAACCAGCGTTATGGTTATAGGTTAGGGGCTGACCCTCTCAGCAGCACAGAGGCAGAGAGGGATCTTGGAGTCAGGATTGACTCCAGGATGAATATGAGTCGCCAATGTGACGAAGCAATAGGCAGAGCCAGCCGCACCCTGTCCTGCACCAACAGGTCCCGAGAGGTCAGGCCGCAGCTGGAGTACTGTGTCAAGTTCTGGGCGCTGCACTTCAAGAAGGATGTGGAGAACCTGGAGAGGGTCCAGAGGAGGGCCACTCGTATGGTTGAGGGCCTCCATGGCCAGCGCTATGAGGAGAGGCTGAGGGACCTGAATCTCTTCAGTCTCTGCAAGAGGAGACTGAGGGGGGATCTTGTGGCTGCCTACAACTTTACCAGGGGCCACCAGCAGGGACTCGGGGAAAGTCTGTTCACCAGGGCCCCCCTTGGAGTCACCAGGAACAATGGCCACAAGCTGAGGGAGGATAGATTTAGGTTAGATATTAGGAAGAACTACTTCACTGTAAGGGTGGCCAGAGCCTGGAATAGGCTTCCCAGAGAGGTGGTGCTCTCACCTTCCCTGGAGATCTTCAAGAGGAGACTGGATAGGCACCTGGCTGGGGTCTTATGACCCCTGCTACTGCCAGTGCTCCTTCCTGCCCATGGCAGGGGGTCAGACTAGATGATCTGTCTAGGTCCCTTCCGACTCATTGCTTCTATGATTCTGTGTGTCAGACTGTGGCAGAGTGGGTGCTGAGAGAGAGAGTAAATAGAGTATAATCAAGATTGTTTTTTTTCCATTGTTCCCTTCTCACTTGCAGCCTCCAGCATTTAAGGTCTAGGAAGTTCTGATTCAGAGGCTATATCCTTACTTCCCATGCTCAATAGCTACTAATGCCTCTTTCCTCCCAGAATTTGTCCATTCCCTTTTTGAATCCAGCTAAACTCTCAGTTTCCACAACATCTGGTGGTAATTAGTTCCACACTTTAATGATGCACTGTGTGAAAAAGAACTTCCTTTTGTTAGTTTTACACTTACTGTGTACTAGGTTCATTTTGTGACCCTTAGTTTTTGTCTTGTGGGAGTAAATAATGAATCCCTATTTCTCGTCACCAGTTAGTATTTTCTATTTATCATGTCCCTGCTCAAATGTCTCTTTTCTAAACTGAATAGACCTAGCCTCTTTAGTCTCATTTCATATGGAAGCCTCTACATACCACTACTCATCCTGGTTGTCCTCTCTACCTTCTCTAGTTCTTCTATGCCCTTTTTGAGGTGAGGACCAGAACCGGGTACAGCATTCAAGGTGTGGATGCACCACAGGTTAATAAAGGAGTATAATGATCAGGGATCCAGGTTTTCCGTTCACCATGGAAAAATGCAGTAAAGCGTGGATGTTCTTATTTTGAGAAAAACATGGATTTTCTCTTTTAAAGAAGAAAAACATGGGAAATGGTGGGCTTCCCCTTGCAGGCTGGCAGAGCTTGGCAGGGGGCAGTTCCCGCAGGTAAGTTGGGTGGAGGAATGAGCCCTCCATAGTGAGGGAGGGAGGGAATTGGGCAGGAATGGGGCTGGGGCTGGGGCATCTGTCCAGCCCAAGTGATACTTGGGGCCAGGGCTGGAAGCCATGGCCGCAGGGCCCAGGCAGGGAGCAGGACAGGGCCATAGGCAGCTCATCAAGGGGGGGGGGGGTGAGATGGGGCCCTCTGCCCACCTAGCAGCAGCAGGAAGCACAAATCCGCACCATCCTCCCACTGCTGCTGGGTGGGCAGGGGGCACCTTGCCATGGCACCACTTGGCTCCTGGCAGTGGCACTGAGTTTCCCCACCCCACTCTGTCCTGCTGTGCCATGTCTCACCCACTGGGCCACAGAGGCCATAGAGAGGGCAGCAGGATGGGGAGCTTGAGCCCACAACAGGCAGCCCTCCCCTGGACTCTGCTCATGACACCTAGACGGGAGGGAGAGAAGGGCTTCGCGCTCCACTCCTCCACAGCAGCCACCTCCTCCCATAGTCAGCGACTGGGACTTGGATGCTGCTGTGGGAGGCAGGGGGCTGTGGACCCAAGTCCCTGGCCCTGTAGCCCTGGCAGCTGGGGGCCCCCCTCCAGCAGGGCTGGGGGGGGGGCAGGAGGTTATTGGCTGTGAGTGAGGGTCACTGGCAGGGCTGGGGGGCTGCAGGGTGG